TCTCAATAAATTTTAATAGGATTAAATATCTTTTTAGTTTTTAAACTTAAAATTAAAATTTATCTCTATTTTAGTACTTAATATATTATGCTCTCTAAACTTTTAAAATAAATAAATATAATTTTTTTAATTTAATGAAGTTAATTTTTTAACTTCTTAACCAGAATTTCATAATAATATTTGAATTAGAACATATTGAACAACTTAAAATTAAAAAGATCATATGTATCGATTTATTTTTAAAGTTTGAAGACAAAAATGTATAAAAGTTTGGATAAGAACTAAATCTAATTTTACGTCTGTTTTAATATCTACCATTAACTAAATAAGGTCAAATTTTCGGACTTTCTCATAAACATGAATGTGAGCAAGTTGTAAAGGAAAAAAGTATTGCTTTAGCAGATGATCATGTGCTTGCTTACCAGTTGGAACATTGGAAGCCAAATTTGACAGGACAAGTATAACTACAGCAAGAATAGCTGTTCCACTAACATGATCTATACGAGAATAGGGCTCCATTGCATCCCACATAGCACTTGGAATATCAGTTTTCTTAAACCCTTCTATTGTGATAAACATTCCACAGAAGAATATCAAAAGTGAATATGATACCTGTTCCAAGAAATAAAACCACACTAAGAATTGGTTTGAAGTTCAATTGGCACAAAAAAAACAATAGCTAGCATGTAAAATATAGAAAGAGATTTTTACCTTGTCTAAGCTTGGCCCTGCATCTTTGAAATCAAGAACCACCAAAGTTATTGCTGCTGCAATTGCAGTCCATGCCATATTCAAACCAATAAGCATTGCAATCAGCATTACCAATGTGATTGCATAAACACAAGATTTCCACAGTACCCTTTTCCATTTTACATTCATATAGTCCTTTCCTTCTGAAGATTGCACAACATGTGCCACAACAGGTTTATCTACTACTATTGCAACATTTTTTGAAGGATTGGTTTCCTCCTTTGTGCCACTATGAACCATCTGAACTTCACTTTCACTTGTTGCTGATTGGTCTTTAATAACATGAACTTGAGAAGAAACCAATGCATGAGAAGAGTTTTGAACAGTATTACCAAGTTCTACACTTCCATTGCATTCTTGAGGATTCAAAGGTGTCAAATGAGACATTCTGGCTGGAGAAAACTGATGGGAAACAGCTTCCTCTTCTACTACAACTTCTGAAATTGGATTCTCTTCATCCTTAGGACTACATAGTACCTTCCAATACATGGCTATGAGAAAAAGAATATTCACTACAACTCCTACAATCATAGCTGGAAAAATACCCATCAGAAACTTCCCAAATGATATTTTACCCTGAATTGCTATAACCAGATTTTGGGGGTTCCCTATAGGGGTTGCTGAAGATCCAATATTAGCACTTGAAGCAAGTGCAAGAAGAAAAGGGTAGGGTGGGAGGTCATGCTGCCTTGCAATTTTCAGCACAAATTCAGTTAGCACAATGCAAGAGGTGTCATTTGTGAAGAAAGCACTTGATATAGCAGAAATCAAACAGATTCTGCAGAGTAAGTCCTTTGGTCCTCTACTTTTCCAAGAGAGCAATTTCCCCAAGTACTTGAACATGTTTGCTCTTTCAAGAAAAATAGTAACAAGCATTGTCCCAAAAAGAAGACCAAGAATTGGAAGATCAATTGCACCATATGCTTCATCTGGACTAAGAACTTTGAATATGACCATAAGCATTGCACCCAACAAAGACCCTGCAGTTCTCCCAATGGGTAAGAAAGGCACAGCTGGGAAAACTGCTAGTACCCAGAAGATTAAAAAGGCTACTGATCCAAGAACAACTTTTGAAGTAGCAGCTAGTGCCATTATTGTGATTGAACAAGCAACAGTCCTCAAAATTTCAAAGAATTCTCAAGAACTTCACCTTTAGACCAACACAACAGAATTTTGTTTGGTTGAATTTCTGACATGGAAAAACAGTTGGTCAGTAACTTAGTAAAATTTCATGAAATCCATCCTTAGACACCATTTCATATTAATCTACTACTTTTAGACATGAATTAAGTGAATCATCATTATCACTGAAGATTAATAATGATCAAACAGATTAGATATAGATATTTTCATGGTATATGCAGTTAAACTACGTTGCATCATGAATATGGCTACACCTATAAGTTTTTAAATGATTAAATTTGAATCAGATACTTTGAAATTCAAATTATAAAGCATAATAACTTCGAACAAAATAAAAGTAATTGAGTTTCAAAGCATAGCATAAAATATTAAAGGAGTAATTATTGTGAAAAGCATCTGGAGGATTAGAACTTAACAAGCTCATAAATAATCTCAGAAAAAAGAAGGGTAGACCACCTTCAAACCAAGCACTAGCTATAACCAAGGAGCAAAACAACAGCAATAATCTCTTCTTACAAAAATAGTTTGTTTTGT